CTAGTAAGTGTCAGAGGTAAGAGTTGAGCCCAGGTCTCTTCTGACTCCACGTTCAACACTAGTGACTGGATCATGCTGCCTTTTCAGAATGTTAGTTGTGGAAGGCAGCTACTGACCTCCCTTTCTACCATCCTGTGATTTCAGGGATAGAGCCTTCGAGCCAGTCTTTCCTATTTGCGCTCTGGATGCCCTTCCCTTCTAATTGAGGAGGAACCCTGTGCCATCCTCATTTCCCTTTGTCTTTGCTTCTTAATAAATGCTTGTTGGTTGACTAATTATATCCCCATTGTCTCTAAGCATTCAGGCAGCCATACTAACTAATTCAATCCCACACTTGCTCTATGCCACAGTGCTGAGGGTCGAGGGGGTGGTTGAAGGCAGTGAGATAAGATTTTACAGTTTAGTAGTATGCGATTTAGCAGATGACCCATTGCTTTTGCCCTTCATGACTCATCTTGAGTGGACCATCCCTGCTTCCTTACCACCCACACTCCTTCACTCCCTTGTAACCTCATTTTGTTTCCGCACTCCACCCAAATTGCTCTAAATTCACCACTGATCTCTCTCATGCCAAATACTGATCTCAGAATCCCAGAGGACCAGAGCTTAGTGATTAGTCCTCTGGTCCAATCTCATTATTTCATACACGAGCAATCTGAGACCCCAAAAAGTTGTCACCTCTTTGAGGTTACCTAGTGGCATAGCTAGAGTTCCAACCAAGTCCAGCACTCTCCACTGCACTGCAATGCCTTGTTCATGTCCTGTTTTCTCTGTTGCTTTTGGCACTACTGACCCTGACTTGAAGTTTTGTCTCTTGCCTTCTGTGACATTTCATTATTTTGGTGAGGTGGATTGAATGATGGACTTAGAGTCAGGAAGGACTGAGTTCAAATCTGGCCTCAGACACTTACTAGCCATGTGACCCTGGGCACTGTACTAGGGAAGGTGAGTACATTGGCAACGTGGCCCTGGATCTAGGCAAAATAAGGCCGACGTTGGCTTATCAGAACCCAGCTTGGTTCCAGGGGGTAGAGTCCAAGGTTTGGATGGGGAAGACATGGAAATGTTGGCCTGAGTAGGGATACCAGTACATAAAGAAGAGATGTCATATGTGAAGGGTTTGGGTAGAAGAAGCCTGGTTGATAAGGCTGGGAAGACAGGGTAGGGTAGAATGCAAAGCTGAAGAACAAGTCTGAAGATTCTGGAGCGTGAGGAGAGAGAGGGGGTGGAGAATGGGGTACAGTTGGAGTAGAGCCTGGTCATAGAACTAATATAGATTCTGTGATTCAGTGGGGAAAAGGAAACATGAATTGTGTTGCTTTCTAAATATAGTCACCTCTTTGAAGTCTTCATTTAGAAGCAATTTGCAAAGCCCTCAGTTCCTAGGCTGAGCCATATGAGCATGAAGCCTCTTTTCTTTGTCTCCCCCAAGGGGTTTCCTGGTCCCTTAACTAGTTGAGGATGTAGGTCCAAACCCTACAGCAGAATGCACAGTCAAATTCAACTTAACAAGTATTTCGTTAAATATGGAGATGCTTTACATGATTGCTTCCTGGCTCAGGGAGGGGGGAGGAAGGAAGGGATAGAAATTGGAATTTCAAACTTTAGAAAAAGCAAATGTTAAAAAATTGTTTGAACATGTAATTGGGGAAGACAGAGAGATAGCTAGATATAGATGTAGAATGTAGATAGAGTACCTCCCCCCCACACACACACCAAAGCGAGTATTTCGGTAGCACTTTATATGTGACCAGCACTGTGGGGGAGATGAGAAAATGATGACCTTGAGACTTTAGGTCAGCTTGTCTTACCCATCACTGGAGATCATAGGATCATGGATCTACAGCTGGAAGGGACCTCAAAGGCCCTCTCTTCCAACCCCCACAATAGGAGGACCCTGATGCCAAGGGAAAGGAAGTGACTTGCCTAAGGTCACACAAAGGGTAAATGTCAGAGGCAGGGTTTGAAGCCAGGCGCTCTGTTGAGGCTGCTCAGGGTGGGGGAAGAGTGGAGGTGAAGGGGCGCTCCTGTTCAGGTATGCAGAGCAAGAAGGGGCTTTACATCTTGTGTTGTCCAGCCCCTTTGCTTTTACAGTTTAGTAGTATGTGATTTAACAGAGGAAGATGAAGTCCAGAGAGGTTAAGGAATTAGTGCAAGGTCACACCCAGCCCTCTGACCTCTTCCCACTACACTGCAATTAGATGACCTTTGAGGCTTATTGTTCTTTTCGTTTCATTGATGCTGTCACCATGCACATTGTTTTCCTCCTTGTAATACTGAAGTAAGTGTATAATACTTCATAACCTTCAGGAACTCTCACATATGTACCCTTGTCTGATCCACACAACAGCCCTTGGAGATAGGTGGGGCAGGCAGGCTTTCTACAAGGGACAAGTGGCAGATGAGCCCTGAGGTCACTCAGTAGGAGTAAGTCCAATTCCAAAGTACTCTCACTTTGGTTCGCTCTCTCTTGGCTGAGAAGGTGAGTGAGATCTCAAGCTGTAAAACATGGAATCGGTAGCAGTCGAGAGCTGTACATTACCCAAAGTGAAAGCATTGCTGCTGTCATCTCTCAGGCTTCAAGGGAGTGTGGAAGCTGAAGAAACCAAGCATAGTGAAGGCCCAGAGTAGTATACATTCTTCAGTCTTCCTCATGTACTTGATAGGAGTCATAGGTTTAGAATTTAAAGTTGGGAGGGACATTGAAATACAGCCCCTTCATTTGATAAAGAGTGATGACCCTCCAGAAAGGGTCAGTGACTTGTCCTGGGTCTCTCAGTCACTCAGCAAGCATCATGGAGCGTTTACTTTGTGCCAGGCACTGCACGAGACACTAAGAAGCCAACAAAAAAAGCAAATATAGTCCCTTTCCTTAAGAACTTTGCATTCTAATGAAGGGGATGATATGTTAGGGTTAGAAACAAGTTAGGGAACAGAAGGCAGGTAACCTTAGAGAGTTTCACAAGTCTTCGGTGGTGTAGATGTGAGATTCCAATCTAGAAGCCGAATCCAGTGCCATTGTTTGATGTCAAAAGTCTCAGCTGGTCAGGTGTATCTTTATCCACTCTGAAAATGACACACAATCACCTCCTTGGTGTAAGGAGGCAGTGATGACTTGCGTGTCCTTTTTTTTTTTTTTTAGGCAGTTGGGGTTAAGTGACTTGCCCAGGATCACACAGCCAGTAAATGTCAAGTGTTTGGTCTGAGGCCGGATTTGAACTCAGGTCCTCCTGACTTCAGGGCCAGTGCTTTATCCACTGCCCCTTTTTTTTCTTTTTTCTTGGGTTTAAGGATATAGGGGTTTTTTTAAGCTTTTAATTTTAGCTAAGCCACTTAATGAGCCTGATTTTCAATTAACTGCCCATTTGCCTGCTCTTTCCCTCCCCAGGCCCTTTTGAAATAAGAGAGAAAACTACTATGCCAACATTCCTTGGGTGTTTATATAAGCAGTATGGTTTGCTGAGAGTTGGAAGCAGACCTCAGATGTCAATAACCCCATTCAGGCATGTAAGCAATGTATATTCGACTCCACCTGGAAAATGAGCCACTGGTATGGTGCCCTTCCACCCACCTTGCTGGAGAAACATTCCTCTTTGGGCAACACAGGAAAAGCTGTATGCCTTATTAATGTCTAGCACTCGGGGTGTGCCTTTACCCAGTGTAATTGCAGTCGTGTCTGGTGGGGTGGGAACTTCATTTTAACCCACATTGCCCTATATATGTAAAGGCCTAGGAAAGGCAGTGAGTAGACAGCGACAAAAATCAAACATTTAAGAGGGAGCTTCCTTTCTACTTGGTAGTAGGTCTCTGTACCCAGTAAGTAGATGAGAGACCTCGATTTTTTCTTTATCCTTGAATTGGACAAAGCGAATTGGTCAAATGCACACAAAGCTGGTAACTTTTCAGCAAAACCAAACTGATCGCTTCTTTCAATATTCCTCTTGGCAAATAGAAAAAGAACCCATTTTCTGGGAAATGAAGTTATAGTGTGTCAGCAGTTAAAGGTTGTGTGGGTGAGGATTTTGAGGCACTGTGAGTGACTTTTTAGAGTTACAATTTATCTCCTAAGGGAGGAGAAGGAAACTAAGAATTGATCAACCACTGATGAGTTTGGTTACTTTTAGTGAATTTTTGAAAACATTAACAGTAGCAGCAAGTGAATTTACCAGGCCTTTCTGTGACCTACGGATAGATTTAGTGTAGGAAGGGGTAGAGGTGGGCAGACCACAAAAGACTGTAGTGGAAAATCAAGTCTTAAGAAATCCTACAACAAAAAAGAACCTAATGGACGTTGAACTATTTGCATCCTTGTTGATGTTACTGAATATGCTTCCACCCTGTTGTGATTAGTGTGCAGGTATTAGCTTACCATCTGTTTTTTTTTTAATTTTTTCATATAAACATTTTCATGTTCATAATGACACAATTCTCATACCTGTCACTTTAAATCAGTAGTATTCTCCCCCTGCTGTATTGGTTAAGGACCTGCTTGGGCTCGGGGCACGACTTCACAGCTTCTTGGTCAGTGCCACAATGCCACAATGTGTCACAGTAGATTGAGGGCTACCTCTGGAGTTAAAGGCCCTCACTGGGGTCTCCTCCAGCTCCAGTGCTGATAATCCCTTGAATCCTGGCTCTGCTACTTACCTGAGTAATGTTAGACAAATCATTTAACCTCTGGGTCCTAGACTAGATGGAGACTAGATACTTACTACTTACCTGGGTAACCTTAGACAAATCACTTAACCTCTCTGGGCCCAAGTTTCTTCATCAATAAAATGAAGGGGTTGGACCAGATGACCTCTGAAGGCCCTCTCAGCTCTACCTCCATGAGCCTATGCCACTTTGCTCCTTGTTAAGACTTCCTTTAATCCTTGCTCGTAATCTGACTCTGATATAGAATAGCATTGGGCAGTGTGATGCATGGCAGCAGGTGAATCTGAGGAGATACCACAGGATAAACCAAACTGTTTATTATTTTGGGCGTTTCTGTCTTACAGGCCAAGAACAAGGAGACGGGCGCATTGGCTGCTGCCAAAGTCATTGAAACCAAGAGTGAGGAGGAGCTGGAAGATTATATAGTGGAGATAGAAATCCTGGCTACATGTGACCACCCATACATAGTGAAGCTGCTGGGGGCCTTTTACCATGATGGGAAGTTGTGGGTAAGAGTTTTCTACTTTTTGCCATTTCCTGCATGCCAGTCCTTGGTATTGGAAGGTCCTTGCAGGCATAGTGGAAGAACTTCAGGGGACCATAGAGTCAGCCACAAAGAGCCAACACTGATATATTCCGTTGAAAGAATGCAGTGTGGTGCCAAAGGAAGTCCATACATTCAAGAACCAAGAAGTAGGATGAAAACAAATAGCTTGATGTGTGACCTGCATATGGACGTTGTGACCCAGTGGAGAAAGCACTGACTTTGGTCAGAGGACCTAGACTTAAAACTTGCTTCTGTCACTTACCATATATGTGACCTTGTTTAAGTCACTCGATCTCAGTTTCCTCATTTGGAAAATGAATGGATGGATTAGATGGCTTCTAAGGTTCCTTCCATTTTGGAATCTATTATCATGTGGTCTCTTGAATGATGTTCAGGGTGTTTTGCACTATGGCCAAAAGAAAAAGGGATGGGGGTGGGGGTGGGAGCACTCAGCTCTTGGGAAGGTTTGAAGAGGACCCTTCACAAGTCAGGATGTGGAAGTGACTAGCAGACTGAAGGAGGACTGTGCCCTGAAGGTCAAGACCAGACAGGATGTTGAGGAGGAGACGCAGAAAGGTCACGGAGGGTGAGAGTGCAGAAATGGCTTTTTCATTTGGCACTAGGGATGGTCTCGGCAGCGCTAGCAAATTTGTTTTCGGTGGAGAGCTAGGGGTAGATGCCAATGTGGAAAGGATATGGAGGAAGTCAGCAGTCTAGTTAACAGTTCTTCTGTCAATACTTATTGGAAGAGGGATAGATTCCAGAGGAATAAAGTTAGTGCCTGTTATAACACTGTCTCCAAGAAGCAGACTTTCAGGGAAATTTGACAGTAATGTTTACTCTTATATTTTTAATTTTAAGATTTAAAACGATTAAATTTAATAAAATGCTTGAAATTGGTTATCTAATACATACATCCTCAAGCAGCATACCTGGATTTTGACATATGAGGGTATAATCAAACATATGTCAATGCTTCCTCTCTATCCCCGGTGGCTAAACTCCATGTTCTCAGTATGGCCCAGTATGACCCAGAATGTAGCTCTTTTACATGTGGTATTTTCTGACTTCTGTTGAAGTGACATAGTAGCTGAAAAGGACCAAAGAATTGCCCCTAGAGCTCTAGCTGTTCTTTGGGATGGGAACTTTTTTGTTCAACTTTCCCTCTAATTTTTTTTTTTTACAGAACACTCCTGAGTACTGTATCTCCTACACACACACACACGCGCACGCGCACACACACACACACACACACACACACACACACACACAGAGTGAGTGACTAGGCACTTTCCCTTGGAGCGCCATGTGGAAGTTAGCCAAAAACCACGAGATCAGCTTTTCTTCCGGAATCTGTAATCTTAGTAAAATCCTCCTGGTAATTTCTTATCATCACTTCTGCTTTTTTTTAATGTCAAAAATTTAAAGTTTCCCCAAACATGCGCAAGTCCTCAAAATGAGAAAATGGAAGAAGCTCTTAGCTGATCCCTTGAGTTTCCTTTGGGTCATTTCTTCCTTCCTTGCTTTTGAAGGGTCTGGATATGTTCTCTGGGAGAAGACCTTCATGACTTCTATTCCTTTTAGGTTTGTTCTTCTACAACCAAACTACAGGGATGATGATTAAATTAGTCACCAGATATAAATAGGAGCTAGGAAGGTTCAGAGCAGGAGTTCTTAACCTTTTCTGTGTCATGGATTCCCTCTTTGACAGTTTGCTGAAGTCTATGGGCCCCCCCTTCCCCAGAACAGTGTTTTAAAATGTATAAAATAAAATATGGGATTACAAAGGAAGCTAGTTATGTTAAAAACAAGATGTAATTTTTTCCCATCTTAGTTCACAGATCCCTAGGAATTTGTCAACCCTAGAGTTAAGAACCGCAGGTATAGAGAAATACATAGATATTAGATAAAAACATGTTTGAGGGATACCCATACCATTTTTAGGTTGATTTCAGGGAGGGCACACATGCCCCTCCCAAAGAAGGAACGTGCCCAGAAATAGAATTTGGGATTGGATGGGAACTAGTTGTCTGATCCAAGATGGTAGTTCTTATGTAGCCTTTTGAATGTGGAAGTGAAGAAATTCCTGATTTTCCACAAAATCTTAGTCACCAAGGAAATATCTAACCCAAAGATGGAGTAACCATTAAAACCAAAGGGAGATGTGGTGGTTGTAAAGTTTGGGTAAAACAAAATGATTTTTAAAAGTCGCTCTCCACTCCCACCCCAATTCTACCGATTCTTCACTATCAATTTTGATTGTGGACCTTTAGAGAGATTTTCATCTGAACAAATCCAGGAATTGAAATATTGATTGCTTGTCCAGTGATCTAAGGGTTTTGGGCCTCTCCTCTTTCTCCACCTCATTTCCTACTCATGGGTTTTCCTCTGAATTTTTGAATCTTTCTGGGAGAAGCATGACTGAAGAAGCCCTGTTGGAAGCAACTTTGACTCTATCCTTTCCTTCACCTGCCACATCTCATCAGCCTCCAAGTTCTTTTGATCCTTTTGTTTTATTTTATTTTTTTATTTTTTTGGTAACCTTACTCTCATTTTTTTCTGCCTTTCCATTTTCACTACCACCAGTTTAGAGAGGGCCCTTGTTATCTCACTTCCCCGTTGCTGTGTTAGTCTCCTCGGTCTCCCTCCTTCAGTCAATCCTGTATACTGCTCCTGGGTTAATTATCCTGGTGCAAAATTCTGATCTTGCTGGTCCTTCACTTAAGAAATTGTCTATGGCTCCTCGCTGATTACAGGGTAAAGTCCAAAGTCCTTGGTCTTGTATCCAAGGCCTTTCATAGTCTGTCACCAGCTTGCTCTCATAACCTTGTCTCTCACCAGTGCTGTATCTGAATCCTCCACTGTGGCTAAACTGTTCTTCTTTTTACTCCTTGGTTCTCCTGGGCTTTTTATCAGTCATACTTTGCCTATGCTATTCCTTCTGCCTGAAATGCCCACTTTGTTTATAAGGATAATAATAATTCATAGTTACGTAATTCCTTAAGGCTTATAAACCTTTGTCCAGAGCTTAGCACAGTCACTGGCTGTAGTAGGCATTTAATAAATGTTTGTTGACTGACTTGGTTGCAGAATCCTACCCATTTTTCAAGGACTTACTCAAGTTATACCTCTCCCATGATGCATTTCCTGATATACTCTCACTGCCACTCTAGCTCTCTCCCTGTTCTTTTCTCTCTTCCTCCTCCAATCCCTTCATCCCTTCCCCTCTTTCTCCTTTTATTTCCCTCTTCCTCCAACACTGAAATCCTACCTAATGTTGGATTTTTATTCTATACATGTGATTATATCTATACATACTTATAGTTATTTCATGTGTATGTCTTATCTCCCCAAATATATTTAAGGTCCTAAAGAGTGAGGCTGGGTCTTATATTCTTATCAACTCTTAAGATTCTGGAATCCCAGATTCCATCGTTTGTTTTCCCCATCACCTAGTGATTTGTGTAATACTTTAGACACAGTAGGCACCCAGTAAATACTTCTGAACAGATGGACTTGGAGGGTAGATGGTTGCAGATTTCTGGGGAAAGTCCTTTGGGGTTAGCAACACTTACTGTCTTCTTGCATACTGAAATTACTTGGGGGAAATTGTTGGCAGGAAAGGATGACACTGATTTCCATTTTCTCGACTTTGAAAACAAACATTTTGAAAAGAGGAAATGCTGATCCAGGTCAAACGGCAGTCCTGACCTGTGATTCAGGAGGGCAGGGCATGTGTGGGCTGTGGAGTCCTGGTGCTTTGTACAGAGTAGTCCTTGCTCATTTCAAGTTCTTATTCTGATACATGGTTCTACAGCCATTATATAGTATTGTTGTATTGTATGTGGGTAAAATGATGCTCAACTGTTTTGCCCACAGTCACCAACCTATCTTAGTGGCAGAACTGAGATTAAAATTCAGGACTTCTAGCTCTCAGTTCACCGAGGGCTCTTGGCTCTAAATTATATTTTGCCCAGTATGTTCAGATCGGGAAACAAGAATTGTAAACCACTGGGTCTCCCCAAATATCTTAAGTAAATTTAAAAGGAGGTAAGGAGGCAATGCCTTCCAGCCACGTAGGACAAGCTGTACAAAGACAATTCAGAAGAGGGATGGAAGGTACAAAACAACGAGTAGGCCAGTGTGGCCAGAATGTAAAGGAGGTGAAGGAGAGGCGGAAAGGCAGGAAGCCTTGCGTTCAAGTGCAGGATTGAGTCCCTGGGGAATGCTATGGCACTTAAACTTGTGTGCCTGTATTCATTACAGCAAAGAGTAATAATGTTCATGAGCAAAGAAGAGCTGGAGAACCATTACTTTAAGAACTGAGAGTCTCTGATCTGCAAAAGGGGAATGAGTTTCTACATAAGGAGCTCCCTTATATAGAACCTTATTTAAAAAATAATAATAATAATAACAACAATAACTGGCATTTTATATAGCACTTTAAGGTTTGCAAAGTGTTTTACATGTATTACCTCATTCGATCATCACAACTCTGAGACCGGTGCTGTTATAATCTCAGTTTTACAAATGAGGAAACTGAGGCTGAGAGAGTTTGGATGGCATGCCCGGGGCCCCACAGCTGGGAAATGTCTGAGGTAGAATTTGAACTCGGGTCTTCCTGGCTTGAGATGGCCCAGTGGATAGAATGCTGCACCTGGAGTCAGGAAGACTCATCTTCCAGAGTTCAAATTTGGCCTCAGATGCTAACTAGCTGTGTGACCCAGGGCAAATCAACTACCCCTGTTTGCCTCAGTTTCCTCATCTATAAAATGAACTGGAGACGGAAATGGTAAACTACTCCAGCATCTTGACCAAGAAAGCCCAAAATGGGGTCGTAAAGAGTTGGATATAACTAAAAATGAACAGAAAGATGCTGTTAATAGGGGAGAAGCTGAAGTGACACTAATCCCACCTTTTCACTGAAATGTCAGTTGGTTAGGATTGTCTTACCCTTACATG